ATGCGCCTTATTACCGCTTTGTATAGCCAGTACACACTATATACTTAGTCCGCAACTCTTGCCAAACGCCGTCTTGCAATCGTAAAGTGCGGTCGTAGCTTTCCTACACCTTTCTACCGTGTTCCTGTTCCAGGCGAGTTTGCTGTCTCTAGGATTATGTCTACGTATTCAACCTGAGTATAAAAAGAGCGATCTCGATGCCTTTGAGTAAGGGTGGTTTAAATGCAGATGGTTTGTACTTTTCAGAGAGTGTCTTTGAAAGATTTACATCTAGACCGCTGACCGTGTTTTCCAGTGGCTGGGACGGCAATGTCGTTGGCGCATGCCATTGCGTCACAGTTCGTGTTTATTAGCTTACGAAGGAGGGTTTTAACTAAATATAAGACACCATAGAAGGGGATAAAGTACTCACTATACAGGATGACTCTTTGGGCATAACTGGTAATTGATGCGCCTCCTAAACAGCGAAAATTGCTCTGTGTACGAAGAGAGATCAAACAATTGCAGACGTAACTATACCTGGTAAGGCAATGCCAAAGGCCCGCTCAATGTCGAAATCGACCAATCTTCGTGACAATTTTATAAAGAAATAAACTGTTATTAACGTCGAGCATTCTCACAAAAATTTTGTTTAGGTGTGAAAGATGTGAAGCTTACAAAAAATTCTTTGGATATATATTACTTTTCCTGTCGTCCATTGGTATGAAGATTACTCTCGCTTTGGTCCACTCGTGGGGGATGTGCTCCAAAGAGCGCATAAGAGACATGCTGAGTAAATACTGCATAATAAGAGGGGCAGGATGTGCGTTGCCGCCTGCAATATGGTGGAAAGATACCATTAAATACAGGAGATTTAAGGTGTTAGAGAGAGCTTATTGCCTATTCCATCCTGTTGTGATATTACCTACTATATAAGATTCGCTTCGCTTCAGATGCGCTTATTGAAGACTCATGTAGAAACAACTAATCTTTTGTTTATATTAATAAATGAAACAAAAAAGTTTTCTCATCATTAGATATTTTGTTGAATTCTTCGTTTATTACCAAAAATATACATACATACATACATGTATGTACGTATTTTAATTACCCTTAACACGTTTCATAATTACCCGCTGCCTTGATTTCGATGTAAATCAATCATTTGAACGAATTAAAGGCGTTGAAAAAAAAAAACAAAAAAAATATATATATATATTTTACGCATAAAGGATGCTGTAATTAAAAAGTAATATAAACGTACATATATTTCTACATACATGTGTATGTATGTATATAAAAAACACACGTATTTAATAAGGTGTGTAATTAAATAAAGAAACATAATTATTTAAGAACAAATGGTCGGGAAATACCAAAACAAAAATATATTGTATATTATACATGCATACATACATACATACGTACATACATTTAGTGTAAATGGCTTTTGATGTTTGGAAATTATGGGTGTTCACAGGCAACAATCCAAATACATACATACAACTACATGCATACACACATACACACATGCTTACATACATATGTACATATACACTTAACAAATGCGGAAAATTTGTGAGCAAACACAGATGTACAAATATGTATGTATATGAATACACAAACAATGCATAACTAACTGAAATAAGAAATTTTGGAAAATACAAGGGCGAAAAAAATAACATGTGGAGCAGAAAGAATGAGTATGAGTATGTAAAGGAACAGGTAGATAAAAGTAAGACGAACAAGTATATCGGTGGATTTGTATGTAATGTATATGGAATTATTTGTATTTACACACATAACTATTTATTTGCCTATCTATAGGTGAAAATGTATGCAAATGTCTATATAAATATTTTTATACATACATACATACATAAATACGTATGTATTTGCACAGATGTTTCGACAATTTAGACAAAATATTTACAAGAGTGGTGGTTGGAGAATAACAAAAATGGTGGAAATTCCCGAAACGCTTTGAAACGTTACTGCGATCTCTCTTGTATCTTTCTCCCTCTCTCTCTCTCTCTCTTTCTGTCTCTCTCTCTCTCTTTCTCTCTCTCTTTCTCTCTCTCTCACACACACTATTATGTAGTTCCATGAAAACTATACTTCGAATTTTTACATATTTTTTTAGCTAAGGTTGTTTGGCAATTAGTTCAAGTGACACTACAAAGGTAATTAGTATGCACTTAGGCAGTTGGTACTTCAGAAAAGTATGCGAAAATTCGTTTGTATGGGTGATCATGGAATAGATTAATGTATGTGTGTATAGAATAATAGCAAAAAAAAAAATGAAAGGTAATTCGAAAAAAGTTACACAGAGGTTTGTTAGTGGGCATAAATGGGTATTGAAGCCGAGTGCCCTAGTTGGAATGTCATGAGAGAGGAGTGTCAAGAAGATATGAAATAATTCCAAATTCTATAGATATCATTAGGGATACCAAACACTCATGTTTATAATTTAGCAAAAGATATATCATTAAGGATAATTTGAAGTAAATTATAATATTATATCATGAAGTATATATGTATACGGATCGCAACTCCGATGTAGAATAATTGGATTCGGCAGAGCCCCTTAGTCACAGTTCAAACGTAAATATTTTCTCTTTAATCGCTTAGGGTAGATCTGCTGTAATAATTTTTTAGCTAGAAAGTTTGGGTGGTTAGATAACCTTAATGAGTAATTTTTAAGCAGTTACTCTATTTCCTCGGTAACGGTTTTAATCCCGAGATCGTTGTGAGTGGTGGAGATTTTTATAAACAAAGAAGCCTTGCATATCTTGAGGTTTTAGACTGCAGTCTTTGAATTCCACTCAGGCTAGATTTAGATGTTGAGCGCCAAATTTGGATCCTGTACATCCAAGATGGCTTTATGAACATATTAAAAAGTAAAACTTTGTTTTCTAGGCTTAGTTTGGACTTAGAGCCTACAATCCAATGCAAGTTCGTAATTTTCAATTTGGTTTGGGTAATCTTTGTGTCTATGTGGTTCTCCCTGGTGAGTCTCTTATCCAATGTAACTCTCTGGTAGATAACGAATTCTTTTTGAAGTTTTGGGTTGGTTTTGAGGTTGTTCATAAAAATTAAATTTAAGACGGGTCCTAAAGCCCTTCCTTGCGGAACTCCAGCAAATATTTCATAGGATTCAGTGGTGTAACTTTTTCGCCTAACACGAAATTTTTTGCCAATAAGAAAGATTTCTAAGACATCAATTCTATTTTCGGCAAAAAAAAAAATAATAAAAATAAGGAAATGCTCACAAACTACTGTTGTTGTAATTTTTTCACTATTACCAAAAAAATTATATGGTCTGAGATAGTTCCGATCCCTGGTCTGCCTGATACTACAAAGAGATTAGTGTTCTTCATCTTCCTTTGCTTCCACCGGCTGGTACTACATCGAACACTTTGAATGCTGGAATATTCTTATGCATACGGACCAAGTGATCTAGTCACCGCAGCCGCTGTTTCTTGATTTGCTGAACATCTCATTATTCCATCAACTGCGGTATTCGCTGTTTCCAACTCGTAAAGAACCATAAATCTTACTCAAAACCTTTCTTTCGAAAACTCCTAACGTCCACTCATCGGCTGTTGTCATCGTCCATGCTTCCGCACCATAAAGCAGGACGGGAACGATGAGGGGCTTGTAGAATTTCGTTTTGGTTTGTCGAGAGAGGACTTTAGTTTGCAATTTCCAACTCAGTCCGAAGTAGCATCTGATTTCAAGAGTGATTCTCTGTTTGATTTCCAGCCTGACGTTGTTGTTGGTGTTTAATACTGGTTCCAAAATAGACAAAGTTATCTACATCTTCAAAGTTGTTACTGACAACAGTGTCGAAAACGCCAGGGCGTGTATACAATGACTGTTTGTATGATGGCAGGAGATATTTCGTCTTGCACTCGTTTACTACAAGACCCATACGCATCCAGTCTGGGCAAGGCAGAAAAGTCAGCTGTACACTCTTACAGGTGATTCAACCTTCTCTATTCAACTGTGCAGCTCATATTATTTTCTGTAACAACAAATTAAAGGAGGATAAGGAATCACTCGGTCTGAAACCTCGTTTGGTATCGAACGACTCGGGGACGTCGTTTCTGATCCTGGCGGAGACTGATATAAAATCGACGAAGTGGTGGTATATGCCGATCCCTTTTTCATTGGTATTTTCCAAAATTTGATAATTTCTGGTTCATTTAACGGGTGTAAAGCCACACCGACAAGGTCCAATTAGTCTGTTGGCGGTGGGTCTTAGTCTTTCCCACAATACGCCGATATTATCTTCTATGTTTTAGTTGGCAGAGCACATTTTAGATTCCTTGGACTTAGCTCACAAGCCCAAAATACCGCCTCGTAAATTAGGGTATATCCCCCCAAAGCTAGACTTCAATGCATGACGCGAAGGTAGGAAATGTTTGATATGAAAGATTTAAAACTATAAATCTTCGGAAGATCTCGAAAGAACTTAACCTAAAGTTGTATGTCTAATGAGGGAAGTAAACAACTGGCATAGCAAGTGAGCTGAATAGCCATTACTAGCAGTATCTCTTACAGGAAGTGTAAGTAGACAGGTATGAGTGACATCCTAGAGCATCACCTACTCCTCTGTTACTTTCCCGCCTTATCTAGAATACGCCTTACAAATTAATGAGATTTGCTGTTCAGAGGATGAAAAAAAAGTTTTAAAACTCTCTATCAAGGCCATCTCAAGCTTGGGATGTAGTGCTGACCGAATTATACGTATATTTCTCCTAAGATCAATTTAATAGTTCCTTTTTTCTGATCATATATGTAGCTAGGCCGGATTTGTTTTCTGATATTTGTTCAAATTACAAGTGAAACATTTTCTTGATCATTCCTATTGGACATGCTTCAGATTCATCAAGCTCCGAAATTGCGAAAAATATTCCCTTAACCTGGAATTATAGCACATGTTGACGACGCTTCTGAGGAAGATGTCACAAGTTTTCATAATTTTCTTAAATTTTAGCTTATTTCTTATATTCCAGGAGTCGACAATTAGCAAGAAATTGAAGCCTTCGAATTTATTGAAAATCTTTAAACAACTCTTATTATTCCAGGGGCATAAAAATTGAATGAACAAGAGCTCTAATACAAAGGCTTAGTTGGATGAAGTTCACGAAATTTCGTGCAAAATTTACGGATAAAACGACTCTTCGACAAAGAGCTTGGAAAAAACAAGAAATCTGGGAATATAAAAAATTTCTAAGACCAATAATTCAACTAACGCAGGTAAGTGAAGCAATATGAATAGTCCAGAAACGAGTCTTTATCTCGTACTCTTTCACACATAACATCGACAATAGAACATTAATTCATTTTGATTCTTCCATGTCATTTGGGGGCGACCTTTCGTTGTTAACCGCCGGGGAACTATATCGGTTTCTCCAACCAGCTTACGGGCAGGTGAGTGCAGTCTAAGTTCATCAAGTACGTAAAAATTGCTGTTCTGACGGCTTCCAGCCAGTGGGAAAGATGGGTTAGATGAGTAAATTTTAGGGATCATGCAGAGAGGTAGTTAGTGTTGTGCGGGCTCTTATCGTATGCCGGACATACGTATAAGTATATCGAGGTCATATTTAGATAAATAGAAGTTCAGTCTCTCAAGGCAGCTCAAGCTCTGCTTTTGCAATAGTTAAAGCGCTTGGATTCCAAGGACGCTATTATTACTGGTAGAGAGTTCATATGATGGGTGTAGCGCACAGCAGTTGTTGTATCTTTATGCCCTTCGCTATGTTGATGTCATTATAGAGTTTATAACTGCATTTTCTGGTTTCATAGTTTTCGGTACATTTCCTTAAGCAGACAGCGCCTTAGATCTTGCGTGAAATAGATCTCTTGAACGCTCCCAGGTCATGCCCAACTGTGTAAGACCTCACGCGTGCCATATCTCTTCAGGAGCTAATTAAAAATGTGCGCCCATATTTCTAATGGAGTTTCTTTGGGTCTACATAACTTTTTTTCTTTTGAAATATTCTAGAGCAAATATTTTTTGTTTTTCTCTCTGCTCATTAAATTTCAATCACTACACTCCTGGAGTAATTGATATCTGCGTTTTGGCAAAAGAAAGTCATTGTACACTACTATTATACATATATACATACATACATATATATTTGCAAATATATGTTCTTGTTTTTTTCTTTTTGTTGGTAATATGAGTTTTTACATCTACGCAAATATTTGCTGCTCCTACACCTACGCCAACACAGTGGAGCACGGTGATGAAATGAAAAAAAAATTAATAAATTTTCACTTATTCCATATGGAAAAAAGGTGTTTCATCAAGTGTGTAATGCTTCCGGCCGATTTGAAACTCAAAACCAATTAAAAACTAAAAATCTGTGCCGCCGACCCAAAAAACTACCGAAAAAACGCATAACCAGTGTAGATTAGCCAGAGAAGACAAGCAAGTTGTGCAAAAAGAAATTGAGAGGGAAATAAAAATTATGGCAAAAAAATTTCAAAATATATATGTATATGTATATAAAAAATTTAATATTGCGAAAAAAAAATTGTGAAGCTTAACTGTGAAAAGATTCCTGCATAGCAGAAGCCAAATCAATAACTGCAAGCATCAACAAGTCTGCGCAGTTTTTTAAATTTATTTATTTATTATTTTTTTTTTTAACTTTTTCTACAGCTGCTTCACTCTTCTTCTGCGCTTTTCTCGACGTTTGTTTTTGTGTTCGCCTTAAAATTCAAAAAAAAAATTAAAATTTAAAACAAAAAAGTAGAGAAAATAAACTTTTTCGATACTTCGAGACTTGTTAAAAGAAATTTTGCGCACCTAAACCCTTTTTCTTTGCCATACGAAAGCTGTGCAAACAGACAGACACAAAGAATAACAAAACAAAATCGGCTGATCTTGCAGTGATAAAATATCGAATTACGCCAATAATAATGAACGCAGAAATGAATGCAGCGTACATACTCAGGAGAGTAGGCAAAAAATGATAAAATTAAAAAAAAAAAAAAATATTAAAAAAAAATATGGTTTGTATTATACATTTTGTCCTGCGTTCGAAGAAGGGCAGTAGCTGCTTAAAAACACAAAAAAAAAAAATGTTAAATATTAAAATTGTTTTTGGCAAAGCAGAGAATAAGAAATTCATTTCTTCTTAAAATTTGTTGCTTTGCTTTGTAGCGAGTTGTGAGATTTCGCGCTTGATTCCAGATAGAAATTATTTTTGGGTTGGGTCAATACAAGTTATAAAATTTTGCATTCTTTTATTCTTTCCTCAAAAACAATATAGCAATTTTCATTGCCAGTCGCTGTAGCAATGGTAGAGAAGTACGTGCTAGAAGTCGTAAGTCATGAGGTCTGATCTTAACAACATATATTAGAATCTAAAACAGATGAGAAGTGTTGTCTTCGGTCATGCGGAATTCTTTATGCCCTACATTTGTGGAATAACCTAACTCACGCTTTAAGATGATTTCTCAACTGAGTTTTGTTACAAAATCTCCCATCTGAATAAATCGTTTGTACGATTTCGATCATTTTCATTACCAAAATGTGTATAGACTATCAAATTTCTTGCTGTTAGATGCATTTTCGACTGATTTTTTAATCAAAATCTATCGTGTAGAAGAGTTTTTTTCTATACTTGTGGTTTCCAATGAGGCAATACTTTTTCAGAGTTACTTGACTTATACTCACTGTGGTTTGCCATTTCATTTCACGTTTGCATCGGATCCCGTGATATTATAATATAATTAGCGATTTTCCGCCGAGCTCCTCCTCCAGTTTCTGGTTTTACGTCTTGAAGTTTTTCGAACAAATGGAGGGACCTACAATTTAAACTAAGCCGCCTCCAACAGCTGATGGTTTTTTTTACGTGGAGCCTTAATTTCATGTCCGAAATACACTCGGAGTGGTGGACATTCCCTGCCGAGGGGCCACCGCAATTCGAAAACTTGACTTAATTTTTTATTTAAATTAATTTTCCATAACTTTTGGATGTTAGTCGCTCGGGGATTTGAGTCCGAATGGCAGTACGCAATGCTAACTACTCGGCTACCGCGGCCTGCTTTCAACATACGGTCGACATCAACGCCCAGTAGAATCATAACTCTAAAAGGGTTTCGTAGTGCGCGTACTCTAGTGGATAATGCGCATCCTCGGAGCCGGCATACAGTGTGCACCGAAAATGCTGTTGCTGCTATGGAGCAGAGTATCGAAGAAGACGCGAATGAGTTCATTCGCAAATCAAGTCGGCCAAGATTAATGCTTTAAAGGATATTGATATGTGAACGACCTTTGGTTTTAATAAGACGACGCTACATGCCGTACAGCTAACGAACACAAGGAACTTTTGGTGAGCGCATTATCTCGCGTCATGGGGCTGTGGCGTGAGCACCGCCGGAGCATCATTTCTGAGGTTATGTGAAATATGTACCCGAAATCATCTGAAAAACAAAATATAAAACTTAAAAGAGTGACTAGACTACGGTCAAACAGATGGGCAAGCCTTAATGACCGGATCGGTATAAATATTGAGTGATCTAACTCTTCCCCCTCTGATATTTACTTACTATGCAACCGCGTCCTGAAATTTAACAACAACAACAGCTACTCTCTTCAGCATTGTAGGCATTTTTCTAAATTTATGAGTTATAAAGTTATATCGAGCTCACAGCCCAGGACAAAGTAAAGGCTCTTTAGGTTTTTTTCGGGCTAAAGCTGGACTATGCAAACTGTCACTGAAGATAAATTTTTACATATTGATGCTCCTATCATGTAAGAGCTGGAAGAAGAGCTAAAAACCGTTGATGCTGTTCCGAGCTCTCACCGGATTAACCTTCTTAGCTCTTCATATTACTACCAATGCTTGTAACTCGCGCTCTTGGCATTTTCTCCATAAGAAGCAGTTGTACTCAAAGCTGAGAGAAGAGCAGTGAAAACGAAACACTCGGAGATGGTGAACCCGAAGCCGCAATCGAAGACGATGGAAAAGTCTTTCCTCTACCTGACCATGTCGAAGAAGCGGCTGGGGCTGACGGCCTACAGGCAGAGCTAATCAAACATGTCGGTGAAGAGCTAACGAGGCACATGCATCAGCTACTCTGCAGAATATGGTCGGACGAAAGCAGGCCCGACGTGTAGATAAGCCTCATTAATGTCGACTGTAAGGTCCTTTCGAGCTTGAGAAAAGCTAAAGCCCACCGTCAACAAACTTATTGGAATTAATCAATGCGGCTTTGGACCTTGTAAATCCATCATTGTCCAGATACTCACCGTGCGTCGAATCTTGGAAAAGATCCGTGAAGAGAGGATCGACACACACCACCTCTTGGTTGATTTTAAAGCAGCCATCGACAGCACGAATAGGAGCTGCCTTTGTGGTATGCCCGCAAGACTTGTACGGCTTAACCAACACTGAAACCTCCATCACGATCGGGAAACACTTATCTGAGCCGTTCACTCCATGTGACTTCTTTAATTTATTTCTGGAGAAAATAATAAGAGCGGCAGAGCTGCATAGAGAAGGTAAAATCTTTTATAAGAGTGAACAGCTGCTGGCGTATGCCGATGATGCTTTCTTCAGACTTGATAAGGAAGCAAAGGACAAACAGTCATCGTATTCGCGACTCGGCCCCCACGTCACTGTTAACCGTCATAACTTTGAAGTCGTAGATAACTTTGTCTATTTTGGAACCAGTATTAACACCAACAGCAATGCCAGCCTGTGAATCGAACACAAATCTTCACTCTTACCAACAGGTGCTACTTCGAACTAAGTCATCCTCTCCCGACGAACGAAAACCATACTCTACAAGTCGCTTATCGTTCTCGTCCTGCTATATGGTGCGGAAGCATGAACGATGACAATATCTGATTATTCAGCGTTAGGCGTTTTCGAGAGAAAGGTTTTGCGTGACATTTGCGGTCCTTTACAAGTTGTTAACGGTGAATACCGCAGCTGATGAAATGAACAGCTGGATGATATATACGATGACATTGTCATAGTTCAGCCAATCAGGAAACAGCGGCTACGCTGGCTTGTTCATGTAGTCCGAATGGATAAAAATGCTTCAGCTTTAAAAGTTTTCGATCCAGTACCCGCCGGTGGAAGCAGAGGAAGGGGAAGACCTCCACTGTATTAGAAAAGTAAGGGAGAGAAGGACCTGACTCTACTGGGTATCTCCAATTGACGGCAAACAGCGAAAAAAGAAACGATGGAGCAGAGTCAAAGCGATGCCTACGCCAGTAATGTAAGTAAGTAAGT